TGCGCGCCCTCACACACTGTGAGCGTGTAATAACTACTCATCAAAAATGAAGCAGCCGCACCTGCTGCCCCGCTGCAAAATCTTTGCGCAAACCACAACACAATTAACACGTGGAATATTCAGATTTGAGGAACTCTCTTGGTACTAGCATAAGCGGAAATCCTACCACGGCAGACATGCATAATCATCATCCATGACAATTTATCAAATTCCATAAAATCGGTTGGTTTTCGGCTGTATATGCAAAAATTCTGCATTGACAGGTATTTCTCAGTGCGGGAGATTTTGAGAAATTATACTATATGCATATTTAGTTGGCAATAAAATGCGAGGAATTTCTGAGGACCAGTAGTGTGCTGTACTGTCGACTCGTTAACCGGCCGGTTCTGTCTGCTAGCCCGATCGTGTGGAAGCGATGCCGAATCTTCTCATGCAAGGTGTTGAGATGAGAAGATCTTCGGGAACGATCACTTTCGATGCCATACACGAACTTCATGATCCAGTCAGTCAAAGTGTGGCGTGCGGGCTGGAAAATGAAGCGGAATCGTTGGAACCCAGGAAGCGGAAACTGGAGTTCACCATTTTTGCGCATTTCGCTACGGTACAAGCCAGAAAACTCAATGCAGTCCGTGACGGTCCGCGAATGAGATAATGGCTTTGTTCTTGGTCGCAGGGCGTGAAAAGTTGAGAGCTCAAAGCTAGTGTGACTGCATGAGGAGCTCTCCAAGCACGTGAACTCGACGATTTGGATTCCCGCCCGACGATCCAGATCTGGTACTATCGACAGAGGAAGACGAGAGTTTTGCAAAGTAACAGAACTGCGCCAAACAGGGCCGTATTATTATTTTGGGTGAACTGAAGCAAATCAATTTTGCCGCAGGTTTCACGGAAACTTATATGCGCTTGATTTTGCGATAGCACGCCGCTTCGGAAGTATCTCTGGTTTCAGTCGAAGGAGAGGCGCAGTCGTGGAAATGCACAGCGAAACACCTCTATGCTGCTGATTCTCGCCAGATGACCTGATTTGATCAGAGGAGGATGAAAAGTTCAGGCTTCCACGTGAGTATTCGATGAATTGGTGCTGCACGTTAATCAGGAAGAGCAGTGATACGGCTTTGAGCCCAGTGGGGCCAGCGTCCTCAGAAGCCCGGAAATTTGACCACAGCTCAAAGGCATTCAAAAGTAAGAAGATATTTTGCGAATTGACCATTCGGTCACGAACAGTTATTGTTGGA